ATCATCTTGGGTCATTTGTCCATAAGAAAATGGCTAATTGTTAAAAGTGTTTTTTTCATTTTTTGCTATGGTATTGTGATACACAAAATGAGAAAACATATCAGCAGCATTCTTTTATTCTACCAGGCAAAAAAAAAAAAGGTAATAGAGGCAAGTGTGTCCTGAATTATCAGAAATGGAAATATTTTGCTGAGGAACTAATGACAAAAGGAAAGAAATGAAAATGGCAAATGTGAATTTTTTGGAAAACGCATATTTCAAGACTTTGACCCTTAAAAGACTCCAGCTCTACACCATCCCATTATATGTCACCTGAACCTCATCCATACTGACCACCTAATAGATTTATGTCCATGCTATATATGCTGCCAAGAGCTCTTATCCTTAGTTTCCATAACAACAACAGCTAAGTGGTGTTGACAGTGTGGAGTACAAATATGAAGTTGAGATGGAAAGTTTGCTGGCAGCGTCAGGGAAAAAAGGAGTATGATTTCAATAACTGTGTATTGAGGGAGACAGATGGGGTGAATTTTGGTCCCTCTTGTCTATCTTTTGTTAACAATTCTTATTACTTTTCCACTGTATGCAGTTTTAAAAAAAGATATCTGAATTTTTTTGAAATGGGAAAGTTACTTTAAGTTACTATAAGAGTTTTCCTCTTGTATGTATTTTAAATAGTAAGCCATATTCAGACCTTTGGACGTTGCATTTCTAGTCCACTTGTTACAGGTTAACCTGGTACCAGATACCATCTCAGCAGACAGTTTAATTTCCAACCACAAGGAGGCAATCCAGTCCCACTGTTCAGTGTTGTCCCGTCTATTGCTGTGAACATGTGTATTTATCTGAAACTGAAACACCATATTTTTGGGTCTTAAATTATAAAACAATTTTTAGACATAATCGAGCTTTTGTGAAAACGACCCCACAGTCTGGTACTAGTATATTAATAAGCAATGCATCATTATACCTGCTCTTCACTAGTTCAGAATAGATTTAAAATTGGCCAGGACTGAATATGGCCATGAATGATATATATATTTTATACAGTTGTAAAATCCGCAGAGTACAGCAGGGAAATGACTCACTGCATCATCAAATGGCACTGATATAGGACTACAAAGACTTAAACAGAAGAACTGCTCTTTAATGTGCATGGAAATACAAAGTTGATGCAAGGCCAAGGTTAAAATAATCTCTTGTGAAGATTATGAAAGTCATATTTTAGGAGCTGGGATTAAAATTCAAATTTCCTGGAAATTGTATCTATTACCCATCTGAAATTGTGAACTGGTCAAATCCTTTGTAGTGTCATGGCAAGCTGGCATGCTCCCTGTCAGAAGTCTAAATTGACCAGCGTTCCTGATAAAGCATGTAGTGAAAATAGTGCACAGTTTGGATTGTATGCCAAGCTGTCATAAACATTTGGACTCATGGGACATTTGATATAACCAGACATTTGATATAACCAGACATATCTGCATTTTTGCCATTTGTTTCAATTTTTTTAAAGGGACATATCTCCACAATGAATCATAGCAACACTGCTAAGTTAGTGGCCCAGGGAATGACGTGTTTGTTTCAATTAGGTTTTATAACTAAGTAGTTCATTGAACATACAGAGTCATTTCAGATAACTAGTATATCAGAGTGCATATAATGATGCGAAATGATCATGTAGTATGAAATGCCCATTTGTCAGTAAAACCGCACATTATCAGTTAGCTATATAGTAGACCCAGGGTAATAGATGTGTGTGTTGTGACATGTAATAGATTTCCACCATCGGGAAATCAATAATAGTGTATTTGTATTAACTTGGTGATTCACAGTTTGATAAGAGGAGGAGGCAAGTTATGAAGTACATTGGATGAGGTTATTGTAGCATGCATGTCTGGTGTTCTCTAGGCTATTTCACAAAAGAACTAAAGCCCAAAATTTTGTCTGAATATTAAGACCACAGTTTTAGTGCATTCTTACCTAAGATAATTTACTAGTAGTCCAATTAGATGATGTATTGTGTCTGTTTTATAACCAGAAAGACATTCCTAATGTTTCATGCTATGAATTTATTTTGAACTGAGTTAGACTAAATTTTTGAGCTTACAGTTCAGACCAATTTTCAGGCCTCAGATTTTTTGTGAAACTCCCCCGTTTGCATCTGTTGTGTACCCCCCCCCCCCAACCCACCCTCAACTTTTTCAGTGCATGTCAGGGAAACAAATCTTCAGAGAGTAAAAGATTGTGAATCTGCAGTGTTAGAAACCCCAGGATTAAAGTAGCCCTGTTTCCCTTATTGTTTGGTTAAAAAGCAGACTTAAAATATGATATAGGTTGTTGGAAATTCTTAATTTTCTTATTGCATGGTTGAGTCCTCTCCAAGACAGTGACAATATTGTACTCTATGATTGATAGATATGGCACAGTTACTGGGACAGCAGGACTGTTTTGATGACTTGATTTTGTAAGGGGTGGTGAAGGAAGCATGCAATATTGTACCAGAGATTTTGACAGATTGTTTTTTGTTTAATTTTATTTGCATGATGAAGTTGATTTGATAATTTTTAAAGGTTTTTTTAAAGGAGAATCATCAATTATCAATTTTTTGTTCTTATTATGTGTATTTATTTTTCTTGTCCATCCTTTTATGTCTTCAAATATTTTTCCATGAATGATTCTAAAGAAAAGCTGTTTTACAAGTGCAGATTTTATTTATGCCTTCATCTTATTTTCCTTTTTTACAAACAATACTGTTCATAAAAATTATTTTGATGCAGCGGTTATTTAAGTGCACATTATACACACACAACTATGTAATAAACATTTTATTGTGTTTTTGCAGGGAGACATGGAATGCAGCTGCATGAGGTAGCAGAGGAAAAAGAATAAATAAAAAGCCACATACCAGGAGCATTATACTATTATATCATCAGGGTGAGAGAGAGAAAGAAGATGGAGAGGTTGGTGCAGGCAGGAGTCATCTTCCTCATTCTCCAAAGCCTGCTCATTAAAGGTGGGAGGAGGTAAGTAATGGGGGATGTATGCTGAATTCATTCTATGGTGAACTCATTTCAGACATTGAAGAATAAGCAACTTGGCAGGCTACTGATTGGTTCAATTTTTTTTTCACGTTTGAGCAGGATGTTCAGATTTTATGCTGTACTTGTTGC